CATGTCTTTTAGCTTAACGCAGTGGGTAGTGTCAATAAAAAAATGACATTTTAATTTATAATTTTCATTGACCTTTAAAGATTTCAACTACAGGAAGAGATCAATTTGAACTTACTATTCATCTTAGAAAAATGTTACCAACTAGAAAATATTAAAACCCTAACTTAACTATCTCAACTTAGTCATTATCTCACAAAACATAACAATATAAATGCACAAGCACTACAATCTATCTTTTTTCATACTTGACAAAGCTCAGAATCATTATTCTCTAGAGTAGCATGACTCGGATTAGGTCTACTGTTGCATGGTTGATTTTCTTTAAAGTGCCATGTTCTTTTAGTATATGAAAATCTTATCGTGTCAAATGTTGACGCATTTAGCTCATCACTTTTATAAAGGCTAACAATTATAGATTTTGATACCATGAACTATCAGATATTAGAGACAATAATATTCTTAAACAACGTCCATTTATGTACATATACCTTTATGCAAATTAACGTATACGATAATTTAATATTAGTTACAAATTCGAAAGTTTACTATGTACCCAATCATCATAAAAAATCCTAATATTTAACCATCATAAATTTAATTTCAAAAATTCTAAACAAGGATTACATTAATTCTTCTAAGCTTAGAACTCCCACTCAGTTGGCAGATCAAAAAGTTCTAGGTGAGATTTTCTCTAAATCTTCCAATCAACGAATTGTCACTAAACTAATAATAAATAGGTTTAAGTAAAAATATCACTAATTATACCGACCTTAAGAATCATAGTAAAACTTGAATTAACAGATATCGTGTAATTCAATAACACAATTCCATAATATGCAATAAGAGCATAAACATGAACATCTATCCAATCATGATATGTATCATGATATTATAAATTGATTATCTCTAAAAATAAATCCAAATATAATAAAAGAATAAAACTCATATTCTTTAAGTTTTATTATACAGATTTTCAACTTTACCATTATCTCCATTGCATCACTGTCCCAACAAATGGAAAGTGACATTAGAATTATTATATTTTTCTTATTGAAAAAAAGAAGTCCAAAAAAAAAAAAAAGGCATTATGCAATCCTTCTAGATGCTTCACATGTCCTATTAGGTTATACTCCAAATTCATTTATTAATTTTGAGAAGCAGTTAGTTTTTCAACACACTCTACATAGTCTTTTAGCATTCACTCTTAGCATGATACAAGTATACATGAATCTAGTTACAACGGACAAAGTAGGGGAACGTGTCGAAATTGATTACACAACCATGTAAATAGCAACATTACTTAAGAAAGTGAGAACTTGGTATTATTTCAAATAAGAAAAATTTTGATATGAAAATCATATTTTTGCACCTTAAATACAATTTTCAAAAATAGTTAACAAATAAATGAGTCTAAGACCCTAAAATACTCTCAAAGTATTTTTCAATTTTAGAAAATGGATTATTTTAAATATTACCTCTCACTAGGTAATAGAATCTAATAAATATTTAAAATTTAATGTAAAATTTCAGTTTGTAGTTAAGCCAGAAAATAAATTTTAAGTATTTATGAAATGTATTTTACACTTTAAATGCGTAGAAAATACTTTAACCATCTAAAAAATATATGATTTATATATAAAACAAATCAGAATAATATAAGGATCAAAATACAACTTTCAAAGCCTTCACGTGTCAGGGAAAGGTCCTGAAATTTTTTTCCAAAGGCGATTACCGGCCGCGCGTGTATTTTTTTATTATTATTATTATTATTATTATTATTATTATTATTATTATTATTATTATTATTATTATTATTATTTTACTTAGTCTTACTAATTTCGATGTTTTGAGTTCTTTTGTGTGAAATCAGAATTTAAAAACTACATACTTAATATCGTGTTTGCGATAACAACGGAATGAACGAAGGGTTGAAAGGGGAAAAAAAAATTATATATGTTCATCATCTTCTTCAAATTTTCAAGAATTTTGACCTAAATTCCAAACTTCATAACTTTTTCATTTGAGATCTAAAATTAGAGTTCTTTATATGATTGGAAAACTCATTGAAATACTTTTCTAATCATATTAAATTTATTGCATGATAATCAATGAACAAAAAATATTAAATTTTTAAAGTTTTTATGAAACCGACTAGGATTTCAATTTACTCCCAAATGCAATAACGAAAATTGATGAAATTTTGTAAGTAAACTCTTCGGTATGTTAGATAAATAAATTCCAAAACTTTGTTAATTTTAGATTTGTATACCAAAAGATGCAATTAAAGACCGTATAATGTTTCATAATTTAACAAACGAGATTCACAATTTAATTGAATCATGTAATATAACATTTAAACATGAAATATGCAAGGAATTCAACCTTAAAGATTCTGATACCAATGAAATAATTTATAACATTATTTAACATTAATTTTAAGTGAAAATTCTTGAAAAGATGAATTTCAAGATCATTTTGTGGTTGAATCACTCTGCTCTTCCAAACTTCAAAATATGCATTTTGTTGCACTCATATGATCTCAAAACCGATCATTTTAAAATGGATATTATAATTTACAATCCAAGGGCCTAATTTCATGAGTTTTCAAATAAAAATTGTGGTTCTAGGCACCTTTCAATTTAGATATTATTTTCTGTATGAATTTTCACCATTTCTTATTGCCATATTTTTCTCTCGCGTCCTAGACATGTATTGGAAATTGAGGGGAGTTGAATAGAGGTTAAGGAAAGTTGTGAATTTGAATTCCATTCAAATTATTCCTTAAAGTCTTGCGGACACGGGCGGATCCACATGGAGTCATATGGGGTCAAATGAACTCACAAAATTTTGGGTTTTTTTTCCAGAAAATAATTGTTTTAACCGTTTTATTATCTACTTTAATACACGCATGAAGTTGGAACATTGCATTTTTAATATCATTTCGAAGTGCTCATAACCTAGTTTTTCACTTCTTAATGGCTTGCGAAATGATCAACCATAGCAAAAGTTATGATGTATCAAAATAAATCACTCCAAATTAGTATTTCGAAAAGTCCAATAATATGCTAACTTTTAAAAATTTCCAATGATCGTATATTATCTGAATCCACAAATCGCCTTGTGTCATATAGAAGCTTGTTTTGAAAATTATATCTTAGTCATATCGAATGGTCCAAACGGATATTGAAAATAGTTAAACATTTGTCAAACGTACGTACGAGAAAAGACATTTAACTTGTTTTTTCTTTTAAAAAAATTCAATATTTCATTAATGTTTATTATTTTTGTGTGATAAATTTTTCAATATTATTTTCATCATTTTATTAGGAAATTTTACATGGAAGATGACGTCAAAAATTCTAAAATCGTTACGGATTAAATGTAATTTGAATTACTTTTAAATTATTTTTTCATTGAAATTAAATTTCATTTACATCATAAATTAAATATGAATTTTATTTCAAATCATTTACTTCGTACATCCAATTTGATTTATTCGTCATTAACTCAACATCTAAAAATAACATGGTAAACAAAATTATACATGTACCAAAATTCATTTAACACTATTGATAGTGATATAACTATAAGACATTTTCAAGGTTTCAAAATGCGTATTAACTTATTTTCATTAATATTATATTATTTTAAAAAATTATACATTACTTTTTGACCCCACAACCTAGAAAGGTTGGTTCCGCCCCTGCGGATCGGATTGGGTCATCCCCACATGGACGACTTAGTACGACTCAATTTTTTCAACAGTATTCATCCTCCAGTTTATTACTTTAGGATATATTCAAATTTTATCCCAGTTGGAATCCTAGTCCATGGGCTTAAAGGTTTGTATGTACAATTATAAATACATGTATTGTATCAATGAAATAGATATTAATTCCTTATCATGTGTAGTCTTCTATCTTAAATTAATTAAATCCATGTTTGATATAGATTAAAATAAGATTTTTATTAAATTTTGCTACTTATTGACTTTGATATGAAATTTCTGTGAACTTTTAATTCATGCCAAATATGAGCTAAATATTTTTCTATTGTCTTGGGACAGGAGCTGATGAAATCGGTTGATTCAGATTTTATTGACACTTTTGCAACTCATTGTTAATTAGATCGAGTTTATAATATTTACCCGTTAATAATCGTGTTTTTTCTATTTTCTTCTATTTAAGATTATCAATTTTATTTTGTGTAGAAATCTTGAATGAGACAATAATCTTTCAGAACGTTTATATTCTTTGGTTTACCCATAAACAATTGTGATTTTTTCAGTAAGGTTTATGATACTATTAAGAAAAATATACGTTAAAATCTTTATCTTTATATTATCAATTTTTATTTAGGTACGTATCGAACATGCACTCACATATAGATTGAATATATTTGGTAGTGGTATGTTGATGATAACATGGAGTGTTAAGGTGGATAACATTTTTTTATCTTTTCTTGATATTTTTACTAAAAAAATTACGCAATATTAAAATACATATTAATTTTTTTTTTCCGATAGCTCAAGTGTCTAAGTTTTGTCTGACTAATTATGAGGAGTGGCGGTCCTTTTTTGGTTCACCACCCAGTAAATCCGAATGCAGTCACAGCTTATACACATTTGGGTCGGATATTCGGAATGCGGTTCTCTTCCTTGTAAACCTTCCTTTACGACATACGGACAGGACCCCCGGAGGGACGACAAAGTGTACCATATATAATTTTGCTTCCACAGGACAACTATCTTCCATTTTATATGGTGTAGTTCAGTACATCCAATGCAACCAGGGGCGGACCCACATGGGGTCATGTGGGGTCAGATGACTCCACAAAATTTTGGTTTTTTTTTTTTTTTTTTTTTCAAAAAATGGTTGTTTTAACTCGTTTTCGACCCGCTTTAATACATACCAAATGAAAAATGAAATATTGCATTCTTAATATCATTTCTAAGCATTCATGGCCTAGTTTTTTACTTCTTAATGGTGTACAAAATGATCGAACATAGCAAAAGATACGATGTATTAAACTTTTCACCCCACAACCCAAAACGGCTGGATCCGCCCCTGAATGCAACTATATTTTTTCTAGGAGGCTTGATAGCAGTGCCGTCTTATTCTTTATACAATCCAGTTGTGTCATGTAATACGTTCCAAACGAGCATATTATAGACGTACACACAAATATATATGCATGTATGTAATTATATAGACATATGAATTTACAGAAACAGACCATACTCTTCAAGCTTAATGCGGTTTGTTTGGTTGATTTTCTCTTCCATTTCAGGGGTTAAATAGTTCTCCCAATCCCCAACAACACCTTTCCTGAAGTACAAACTGTTATGCACATTGAACAAAGTAGATCCATTCTTGTTCACCTCCAAATTCTTCAACCTCTCCAAACTGCATCTCCACAGAACCTTATCAATTTCCTCTTCACTTGCAAATGGCTTCCCAAGAAATTTAGCAAGTTTCTTAACCTCTCCCTTGGGATCCCTTTTCAGTTCTTCATACTTCAAGAACAGTATTTTCTGCGGATTCTTCTGGCTTTCCAACCAGTACTGTAAAACGTGGTCGAAAAAGGGCCCGTACTGATGAACCCCAGATAAGAAACAATCGACTGTATTTTCTAAGGGAAAAGGGTCTTGATCAGGGTGTAAAATGGAATTGAAAAAGTGCCACATGGAGATTAAAGTGTCCTTAGGGTTCCGGGCAATGTAAACTATTTTACAGTCTGTGTTCTTGATTGAATCTGGGAGGACAATGTAGGGCAAATGACTGTGAAGAAGCCTAGGTGAAGGAACTTTGTAAAGATCTATATGAGGTTTTGTGCCGTAAATTGTGCTTTCAATTGTTGGGACATGGAAATGAGGGTTATCCTTAACTAAAAGATCATAATCCGCGTCAGTATTTGGGTTTTTAAGGATGCAGAGACAGAGAGATTTGAGCCATGTTGTGCCCGTTTTCATGTTCGACGTTAAGATGACGTCGTCGTTCGCTGCTTGAAAGATTGATCTGAAGGTCATGGCGGGTTGAACAAGGCCGGGTTTGAACCAGAAGCCTTCCCACTGGACAATATCCATGGCATCCATGAATCGAGCTTTTGGGAGATTTAGATGGTTTTCCGCATTGTTGGAATTAGAGTTTGTTGATAAATCCCCCATGGGTGATGTGTTTGAGAGGGTCAAAGAAAAATGTGATGAGCAGTTAGATCTATATTTCTGAGAGGCTCAATGAACTAGGTTTATTTATAGTGCTACTCAAGAAGTTCACTCTCAACTAAGATTTTAATGGACGTTAGAAGATTATAAATTCTAATGAATTTGAATAGATTTTCACAAACCTCAACTCGAATTTTGATGGATTCTAAAAAATTATAAATTCTAATAAATTTCATGGATTTCAATAGATTTTACAAAATCCATAAGTATTCGTTTCTCATTCTTTTCCCATTAAAATGAAAAATATGACCGTTATCCATACATCAAGCCACCAAATTTAAATTTATATCTCTTTTAAAGGGCTCATAACGGCTATATTTTTCATTTTTATTTTTATGAAAATAGAAAACAAACGCCCCCTAAAAATGGGGAAAATTGAAAATGATTTGTTATATGTATTTCTAAACGTGAAATCCATCCAAATCTTCTAAAATTACTATATTAATGAACTTAATATAAATCGATTAGTTATTGAGCACTCCTCGGGGGCCGTTTAATTTTAATGGATTTCATTAAAATGTGTTAGAATCTCAATTGAGAACACTTAAGTTTAGAAGGATTTTTAAAATCTATCAAAATCTCAATTTAGGGCACCCTCCAGTATGGAAATTGGCGTGAAGGGAGGTGATACTTCTAGATAACTGGATCAATTTACTTAACATGTCCCCAACTTTTATTTCGCTTAGATATGAATTTTAGTTTTTAGATGTGAATGGCGTTTCAATCTTCAATTACATGTTAGATAGTGAATTTTGGCATGAATGGTACTTTTTCTCTATCTTTTTAGCATTCCGGGTTTTCAATTTTCAGGTTTTACAGCATTTGAACAATATTTTACTTGTGAGTCCAATGATTATTAAAAATGTTTATGTATTGACTTGATCGACATGATTCATGTGTTATAAAAATAACTAGTGGCTATAAGAAGTCAAATTATACAAAGCATTAGTTAAAAACCCTAAAGTCTATGCTCATGCAACGAAGGGGACAGCAACCAATTTCTATTATTTTTAGGACATTTTTAAGGATAAAGGAAATAAGTATGTTTAAAGACGATGTCAGTAATCTTAGTAGACTCTTATTTTTTAAGTGAATTATTGCTTCTTCTCCTGTCGTAAGCTCGATAATAGTCATTTAACAACCACAAGTAATTTAATTATAGATTATTTCAATATACCAAGACATCATAGGTAAGTTTGGAAAGATATTTAAACTCGTTCAATTTATTGGCTGAGACATCAATGGTTCAGTATATATTTGTGTTATATTCAAACCATGATTAATATATCTAGTGTTCTTGTTCTGTTGACAAGTTCATAATAGATTGAGTTTGAGAGATCCGTTTGAAAGTGATAATTTGAAAATTATTTTTCCTTGCTCATTTTCAATTATACGATCTCCAAAAAAGAATTATTTTTCACATTTTTTTCTTAAATTTTTTTCTACTTTTGAGTCACATATTCTCTCCAAAATAAAAAAATAAAAAAAAAATAAAAAATAACTTTTCAAAAACTCACTTTCGCACTAGTACTATGTACTAAAATTATATATCAAATTATTTGTCTCTTATATAGAGTATGAAAGAGCTATAAACGACACAATAAGAATGAGTACTAGTGTAACCATGTATAAAACATATAAAATGTTAGGCAGCGATTTGGTTGGGTGGCTTATGCTAAAAGTTAAGCTCCAAATATGTAACTTATTCTAAGTTTAGGTGGATCCACTTTAAGAAGAAGATAACTTTTATTTCCTAAAAATTTATAGACAACGAGGGATAAGATTCTTCAACTTATCCAAACATTTGAGTTATGTTTGGAGTTGAAGTTCCAATTGGATAGACGTGTCCAGAAAGAAAGAGTAAGATGTGCATTTGTTCTTAAAAAGAATTCTTTTTGTTCAAGTTGTTACGTTTCATCTACAATAAAAAAAATTCTTGTGTATATTTGCATGTATGCATACACATGCATGTAGATTGAATGTAGAAACGGCATTCTTGTAAGGCGTTAGCTGTAGGGTAAGGATTTGAAACTTTTGACCTCACCTTATCTAGTCCTTTGATTATGTCGAGAAGAGACATTATAAATGTTTGATTGTCCTTTCTAAAAGAGTAGTTGAAATCAAACAATGACAAAACAACATACTCGTTTACATAGTCACTCGTCCAAGGTTTCGGAACAATTATGTATGTATGTATTTTTTGTGCTTATGTATGTATGTACGGTGTGTGAGAGAGAGAGAGAGAGAGTGTGTGTGTGTATGTGTGTGTTAGTTAAGGTGTATGTATATCATGCCACCTCTTTAATTGATTTCTTGGACCAGAGTAAAAATGCAATACATGCCACTTCCGATTGTACTATATATTACAATTTACTCCATCTAATCACAAAATATGAATATCCTAGTCAATTTAGCCCTTTTACACACTGTAGAGCTAAGGCTTGTTTGTTATTTTTTTTTAATTATTGTTTTAAAACAATTTTCAATCACAAATTTTATGGACACACAATCCTTTTCCACATTTTTTAATCTCACGTTCTAAATAAAATTATTTTTTTCTTGAAAAAAATATGTGCCAAACAAGTTTTAAGTATTATTATGAAGTGATATAACAAATTATACATGCTAATGATAGAATTAGGGCATGTTTGGGAGCGATTTTTTCTCCTAAAAAATTGATTTTTTGACCTTTATTTTACTATTCAAGCCGTCATATTTGACTTCTTCTCTCACAGTTGAACCCCACATTTCTTCTAATCGTCAAAAAATTAATTCTCAAAATCACTCCCAAACAGGCTTTTAGTTTGTTGCTAATATGAGTCTCAATATTCCTCCATGGACTAGTATAAATTTGTCATGATACAATCACACGAGGAATTTCTGACGACATTATTGATTTTTTTTTTTCACAAATAATATTTCAACTTTTTTCTAATATTATCGACCATCTTCAACATCCATCGCAAAAACCCTATTATACAATTTGTCATTCTAAAAATAAAATATAATAAAACATTCTAGATAATTATATATTTCCAAACGTTTGTCTAAATTTAACGTATTTCATCATATTCAGGGTGTAATAGGGTTTCAAAGAACTTAAGTGTTACTTAGATAATAACTTATCAAATAGTAATCAAAATACTAAACCCATGTTTGGGACACATTTTTTAGGAAATTATCAGACAAATTCTTATCGTTGAGATGCTAGGTGAGACCCACAGTAGAGAGAAACAGTCAAAAAGTGCGGCCGAAATTTGGAATCAACGGTCAGAAATCTCATTATTTTCCCTTGAAAATGTGTTCCAAATAGGGGCTAAAATGCAACCTAAAAATAAATGTTTAGAATTAATATTTCTAAATCATCCCTCGAACAAAAAACTATTTATGAATTGATAGCTGTTCAACTTAGATAATATATTATCACCTCATGAATAATGTAGAATTAGAAGTCAAACAATATGTCGAGGACTAGGAGACAACCTTAAACTACACAAGTTGTACCCATGAATCTAGGGTTGAGTGAAGCAACTGCGCAATGCCTTTAATGAATTAAATTGAATAGCACATCCCTCGTAATTTTACATAATTTCCAAGTCAATGAACCATGTGCATTCTAACACATTGCAGTTGACTTATTAGACTTACACCTAACTATGTCCATTTCTCAGATAAAGTAAATAAAATTGAGTTTTACGAGAACTTAAAAAACTAAGCATAAATTGTCCATTTAATGTTTATTTTGAAATAAAAATAATACAACTCTTTTAAATTACTATTTGGTATTTATATATTGTCTCGTTCCTTTGTTTATTCTTCAATTCCGCTCGGTCACAAAATGATATTGACTTTTTCTGAAGATACTCAAGGCTTGTTCGATAGTAATTTTGAGAATTAATTTTTTGATCGTTGGAAAAAAAAGTGAATCTTATTTGTGAGAGAATAGGTAAAAAATGACGGCTTGAATAATAAAATAACGGTAAAAAAATTGATTTTTTGAAGGAGTGAAAAATTGCTACCAACACATGCACTTAATTACCTTTCTTTGTTGCTGACTTTCACGATGAATTTTTCTAATGCTTCATTTTGGATTCTATCTATGGTGCCTCCACTACTCGAAAGTTAGGAGTACATGAGGACGTGAGGAAATGTAGTAGGAGTGTACGAAGTGGAACTATCTTCGTAACGATCGGGGAAAAAAAGTAGATAAAGTTGGAAAAACTGTGTTGAAATAGAAGATGAAGAAGCTCCAAGGCACGTGGTTGCCCCAAGCTATTGAGCGGCTGCCCAACCATGCCACTGCCTGGTTGTCCCGGAGCATTGGGGGGTCGTCTACAAATCTGTTTGGGCCTCGACTAGCCCTCCTACATTCTCCACCACTCGTATTTACCCCGATTGATACCTTGGCGTGTGCTAATTCTTTAACATATCTAACAATGTCGAAATTCGACATTGAGATTTTCCAATAATCGTTCACCAACTAAAAAATTGAGAAACGAAGTTTTGAAAAATCTCTCGTAAAAGTTTTACCAAATTGTTGTACCAATGAAGTTTTCTTTTGAACTTGAACCTCTATCTAGTGGTTATATCTCAAATGTTTACCAATTAACATGATCGGCAAGTGGGGCTGGACAAAACTCCTGAACCGAACCGACCGAACTGAACTTGATGGTTCTTCCTAAGTTATATACCCAAACGTGTATCCGAATCGAGAACCGATGGGTATGGTTCGGTTCTCGATTTTAAACCAAGAACCGAATAACTGAATAAGAACCGAATTTTCTTAATTTTTTTTATTTTTTTATATTGAAAAAATCAAATTATTTTAATTTTTTCTAAATCTAGTTTTTTTGCCCAATTATTTGTTTCATTTTTCATTTTTTTTTTTTTAGCCCAACATCAAGCATTCAAGCCCATTTTATTCTTCCATTTTTAGCCCAACTCTAAATCTCTAATGTCTAACCCTCTAAATCCAAGTATCCAACCCTAAATAAACTACATAGCACATACA